AGTTAAGTGTATTTTATGCGGATCGGATGCGGGTTGGTTTAGTTTATATCACGGATACCCGCTAATCCGCAAAGATAGAAAAAAAAGTTTCCTAAAACTATTTATTTTTTTAAATATAATAAATTTAGGGAAAATGAATTAAAATATACAAAAATAAAAAATTTAATTAAAAATATATTAATCATATTTTTTTAAAAAAATAATTATTTAATTATTTAATAATTATCTGCGAGCCCTATGGGTTATCTGTAAATATGAAAATTTTGAGTTCAAATAAATAGATTTTTTTTGCGGGTCATAAATGTTAAAAATTTTAGTCAAAAAATGAATCAATCCACTGCAAGAAGGGTCAAGCGGGACGGGTTTGATCCGTTTCCTAGCACTAGCACGAGTGTATAATTATGCAACATCACAAATTCAATACAATTGTCAAGACACCTTATCAATCAGTTAAAAAAATATTTTACATAAATATGATTACAAAAACACAAATATGACTACAAAAAAACACAATTGTAAAAATTAAATTTATAAAAACTGAAATTATAAAATATACCCGCCCTCTAAAGAAGTATAACTCCCTATACCCCCACTACAATCAAATATATTCGATTTAATATGATCCATAAATGTGATAGAAACATACATATGTAAATTTCATCTTATTTGAAACAGACACAATACCCGCGCTTCGGAAGCGCGGATCAAAATCTTGTATGTCATTAAATTACTAAATTCTCACGTCGTTTCTGGTCAATACAACATTATTAATCACACTTTTCTAAAATCAAAAATCATGTATGTCTATTAGCGGATGGTTTGGTCATGATCGTCAATGTAAGTTTTTTTAAAGATTTACACCTAAAAATGTATATCGACATGCTAATTACAAATTGGAAGATCAGTTTCAATTTAAAATATATTTCACATATATATATATATATATATATATTAACATAAGAATATCTAAATAACCAATATATCTGAAATGAATACAGTTCTTTTGTATGCAATTAGTTATCAGCGACATATCTAAAACATATAACACTAATCATAAAAAACAAATATCAATTTATAAGAACCTAAAAATTAATACCCGCGCGAATGCGCGGATCAAACTCTACTTGGTATTTATAAATCTATTCTTTCTATTATAGGAAACTAACTTGCCATGTTTGCATTGAATAAATATAAATCTATTCTTCCTATGGTCCATTATAGGAAACTAACTTGCCATGTTTGCATTGAAGAAATATAAACAAAGAGGGAAGAATACAATTGACAAAGAATGATGTCCTGTGATGCCAATATACAATCAAGCAAACGATAAATTCAAGTTACAGACAAAATAAAACGAAGGAGCCTTCTCTGAACATTCTTTTGAAACAAGTGTATCCTTATTTCCATTCTGAATAATTCTCTCTTTTTTTGAACAACGAATATGTAACATCCGTCACCTCTTATCTGGAAGTCAACGTGTCATCTTCGACGCGTTATTATACAACAGTGTGACACTCATCTCCTCCTTTCTAAGGACGACGGGCCACCAACAATATCAATAATATAAAAGCCTAATTAACCCAACTACGTACACCCAAGTCCAAAATAAAATCCGAAGGAAAAGTCCACTAGCACCAAGTTCGTCCAAATATTACTTTGTTATTTGTCTCATCTGAAATGGGAAGAAAGAGGGGTGAGCGCCTGGAGAGTCACTGGTTGATAGGATGATAAAGACCCCGATTGATACCACCGAAGTTTGCACATCATAGAAAGTTAGAACCATTCACTGGTTCTATCTTACGAAACAAAGTCGACTCATTGAACTTGATTGTGTACTTCTGCTTTGTGGTTCTGTAAAGCTGAAAAAACCCTTCTTATCTCGAAATTGAGTATCTCAATCTAGTCACCTTCTTTGAGCTCAATCACTTTAGATAGAGACAAACCATAGTTTAAGCTCCATTCAATTGTTACTCTCTGTTTAAAAAAAAAAAAAATTACTTCACAATTTGTTATAAATGTAATTTATAAGAGGTTCATTCAAATATAAGAAAACTTACTTTTGCATTTCCTAAGAGCATGATTGAGTGATGATCTCTTCCAATTTTCGTACTCCATTTCCTGATTATCTTAACACGGATAGCAGGGAATGAGATCTTAGTATTTAACTCACTCAAAAGATAAAGTTAACCATCACGCAAACAGTTTAATACTTTCTTCTATTATGTGTGTTTTTAGGTTTAGTTAGGTTGGTTAGTATAAAGTGTATATAGGTTTCGGCGAACAGTCAAAGAAATTTAGTAAGAGATTTAGGGAATATATTGGTAGGATCGGAATCGGAATTATATATATATATATATATAGTTCCTAAATGCAGATGAAAAAAATTTGTTATATATGCCATTTTTTATTCACAATTTTATTTTCTCAGTATCTAAATATTATCTTCCTTAACTACGGTAATGGTTTGCTATTCAGAAAATAATTGAGCAATACGTCTAATCTCGACTAATGAGGAGACATCTATTATTCCCAACTAAAGATACCCCTACGAGTTTGTTTAATTTGCCTAATACGTCTAATTTCCATGCTCACACTTTGGTGTATCAAAAAAGATACGTGAAGAAGTTAAGTAGAACATTTCCATTTGTATTTTTTCTTCCGTTATTTATATATATATTCGATTGGTCCATGCACGGAAATTTGTATATATGATATTGTTTGATATGTGGTTAAATTACCAAAGGGAGTACATACCAGAGAAGTATGAGATGCTATCCCGAAGTCTTTGAACCCGGACATGCTACCCCGAAATCTTTGGACCCGGACATAGTACTCCAAATAAGTATAGATTAATGCTAATGCATGTCAAACACGGTACCTAAAGTACCCAAACATCAAACCATGGTCCTAGCGAGGTGCATTCTCGCTGCCCACTCACAGGCCAAAACACTGCCCATACCTAGGCTACAACAACTTGAGATAGTGCTCGGACATCGCCCATAGACGATTTATCGACACTTCCAGGTTACGGTCCAGCCGGTCAACTATAGCTGGCCATAACCGCTCATACAATCCGGCATACAGAAGTTCGTCTCTGTATCCAGCCAAACAATTCTAGTTACATGATTTACATTAAGCGAAGCAATCAATGTTGAACCATTTGACACCCTAATTCCGGTTTATAAAAAGAATTCTAAACCTAAACAAGCAGACACCAATCAGACCCTAATTAACTCACAGACACAGAACACATTAGAAATAAAATATACTTATTCGAAATCCTAAACCGCGTATGAGAAGTTTGAGAATAGACCCTCACCTTAGCAAATGGGAAAATGGTATCTATGAACTCCAGCTGCTCAAATACATCCCAAATCTGAAATCAGATCAAAATTTCGAGTCAGACGCCCTTCGAACGGTCAAAAACGGGTGTCTAAGGAAAAGTCAACCCGGTCAACTCTGACCCAAGCCGGTCAACCCTTGACCAGAGTCAAATCGAATTAGACCAACCGGTTTTTCTTAACCGAATTTGATTTCAATTGAACCATATTTAAATCAATTACAAACCGGTTTACTCCTTACCAAAATTCAATTGATTTAACCGCTGGTTTACCTTAACCAAATCGGAATTGGATTAAACCGGTCAACTCACCGGTTCACCGAGTCAACCGAGTGGACTCGCTGAGTTGACTCGGTCGAGTTGATCAAGTCACCGGCGGCAACGGCGGTCCGGCAGCGGGGCAGCGGTGGTCTGGCGGCGGCGAGGCAGCGGTCGGGCGGTGAAGCATGGCGGCAGACTGCAGCTGTCAGCGGCGGAGCACGACGGTCCGGTGACGGCGCGTGTTTTTCATGCGCGTGCTTGGCGGCTACGGCTTTGTCCCGACGAGTAGAAAACGATGATAGCATTGAATGCATGAGATTCTCAACGGTTAAGAAGTTATGCTCGATTTACTAAACTGACAAAACTAACTCAAATGCATGGCAGATTCCAGTTACCTACGGATGCGGTTGATGGTGGTGGTGAGCTTGGTGTTGTCACGGCGTGTGGTGGTCGTGGCGAGTTCCGGCAATGCCTCAGCCTTGCAGAAGTTCCCCAACTCTCAACTCTCTTTCTCTCTCTCTCTTTCTCTCACTCTCTCTATCTAATGTGCTGAAGACATGGGTATTTATAGTTAAAACTTTGGCTTCCAAAAGACTTAGAGAAACAACATTGCACGTTCTTCATATGTCTTTAAGGGGGGGTGACCACTCTTTATCAAAACCGAAGGGGACCAAGGGAGAGAAGTTGTTAAATAAGGAACGTCTTTATCGTGTCTTTTGCATTGTTTACGGATCTTACGACACGTAGCGACCCGCAATTGGTTCACTTTTATTTTTTATTTTTTAAATCAGAAAACAAAAAAAATTAAGGACTTGAAACGGTCCCCCACCGATAATGATGTTCTTAACCAGCTAATAAATTTTGTAACTGAAATTCAGGTCGTTACAGAATAATTCTCTCGTACTCTTTAAAATCTATGTTTTGTTTTTGTAGTTTGGAAGAAATCTTATCCGGTGCCAAATAAATAATGATGTGATACCACTTTCAAATTTAAAAATACGGTAAATAACAATAAAAAAACTTAACACTTTACTGAGAGAAAAAGGTATCAACAACTATTATGATGGAAATTGAGCATTTACAAATTTGTTTGTTATAGTTTGAAAACTTTTTACATAAAAGTTGTCTATTTTATTACATGTTTAATATGTATTTTATTAATCTTCTATAAATTTATAGTTCAGAAAAAAAATAAAACATAAAAATGGATTAATTATGATATTTTAAATGCAAACAAAAATTTGACCTGTACGGGGTATGAATACTAGTATATGTAATAAAACAGAGAGAATTTTTCTTATTTATAATTTTCCATTGAACCCATACATAAAAATTTTCTGATTGTGCACAAGATTTTTGGGCTGGCCTACTTATTTTATGGAATTTTTTTAGAAAAGTTTTAGGGTGCAGAAGATGAGATGAAATTTCGGATAGAAGCAAACAGAGTTTGAGTCTCGGACGTATAACCGAGCTCAAATCTGTAAACATCGCCGTCAGTAAAACGCTCCACCACATGGACACCCTTCTCCTTCATCAACTTGGCCACATCTCTCTGCCTATCTATCAGCGGATCTTCTTCTCCTCCACTCACCATCACCTTCCATCCCAACCTTCCCATTTCCTCCATGTTATCCGGTCCATATCCCACCGTCGGATTTGAATACACGTGATCCCGGTTAGCGAATACAGGGAGACAAATCATCCAGGGAGACGTTGTAAGCCACGTTACCACCGGAGTGTGTCCCCATAAGGAACACGTTGAACACGCTGCAGAAGGCATGGTAGATCTTGACGACTTCGCCGTTGTTTAAGAATACACCGGCATGGAAGTAGACGACGAGTGGGAGTTTTTCAGATGAAACGTCGCCGTTTAGTACGGGTGTGGGGACGTAGAGACGCATCCACGTGGAGGTTTTCTTCACGATAAGGATGTCTTTGATTCTGGTGGGGTAGCGAGTGATGGAGTCATCTTTGTTCCTCATGTAAGCGTAAGGATCAGAGAGTGGAGATGGTTCCGACATATTTGAAAGTCTTTTGTTGTTGTTGTTGTATGAAGCTGATTCTTTCAGTCTTGTCCGCTTTTATAGGCAAAACTATAATAGTAATTAAATACTAGATTTTGATCCGCGCGCCCGCGCGAGTGTTTGTTCATGCATCTAACTATTAAGAAACTTATAAACATAATTCTTTATGTTTTTGTTATATATATTCATAATTTTGACCACTTTGTGTAGTTTTTGATGTATTTAGTGTCCATTTCAATCTCTATGATATTGTGTTTTTATTTTATTGTGTTTTAAATCATTCCAATTTGTAAAATGAAATTAAAGTATAAAATATTAAATTTTAAGTGTATTTTATTGGTTTTCTGAAGTTATAATATTAATATTAGGATTTAAAGTTTGATATGCTCAATAAAATTTTACATTGATAATATTTAAAACAAATACATTATTTTGAGAGAAACGTTATTTGTATCGAAATCTAAACTTAAAAAAAAAGACATCCAAACATAAAGTGTATTTACTCTTATAAAGTATCAAAAAGACATACATTATAACATCAACTGTTAAAGGTTGTTGAAAATTTCTTTAAAACTATATTCATAGTTTTTTTCTGAGTTTAGTCAGCTTTGTCTAAAATGAAAATTTTCAATCTTTTTTTTATGAAACCCTAGATCAATACCCGTATTTTATGTTTGTATTTGAGGATACTTCACACAAATAAATAATATATGTTTCACAAGGCTTTTCATATTAGAATTTGAAATAGTGTTTATTAATACATTTTCATTTATGTGTGTTGACAGTTTACATGTAGTACTTGTTCTGGTTTTGAAATGGAAGAAAATATCATGTGGCACTGGACAGTTTATAGACGAATAAATAGGATAAATTCATAAAATTTGATTTTACGTTTAAAAGTTGAAATATAACTTCAAAAAAAATTAAATTAATAAAAATTAAATCTTCATAAATATGCAATCATATATATATATATATATAGGATAGAGTAATATTATCAATCTTCTAATAATTATTTTAAATATCTTACAAACAATTATGGCTTCAACTGGTGACCATATTTTTAAGAAAATATAATGGTGAAATTCATGTTCCTAAAATTTTATACCATTTATGTTGATTTTTTTGTCAAGTTAGAGATATGTGGGTCCTACACTATTCCTCTCATTTTAATGGATGAAAAAATGGTGAGGAACAAATTCCTTCTTGAATATTGATGAGGAATGTATTGAATAGAAATTCATATATTTATGTTTGTTCATTTCCTCAGTTGGAATTTCGTTCATCATTTTGTTCCTTTTTCATTCAAATAAATTGTCACCTATATATTTTAAATACCTTTCAAACAGTAAGATAATATTTTCCTGCTGAAAATTCTCAAATCTCAAATATTATATTGGGTATGTAAAAGTAATATGTAAATATGATATTTATTTCACATTATACCCAACTGAAATAAATTAAAGGGAATAGAATGATATATTTCATCAAGACACTAAAAATATTATATTGGATAGGTACACTATCAAAACTGAAAACTGCATTACTATATCATCATATCAATAAAGAAAAGATTACATTCAACTCATAATCTTAATAATTATAATTTTATCATGTATGGCCCATTTGCCACGACACCCTCTCCTGGCAACGCTCATAGAATAATTAGTTACTAGGTGACCGGTCCGCACCCTGTGCGGATATATACAGATTCAAATTATGGACTTAATAATACAAAGTTTTAGAAGTAATAGATTTTATATCATAAGACCACCGTCTTTGAGGTAAAGCATCAGGCACATAAAAATACTGGTACACAATATTTTACATGGAGGAGATGGAACAAAGTAACTTCAGTATCAATAGGTAGTTATTGTGTGTATTTATAATTGCAACATCACAAAAAAAAATTGTGTGTTGAAGGTTGAATGTTATTTTCAAAATCTGTAATTAATAGTGTAGTTTTATAAGTAACATATTTTCTATTATCACTAATTAGAATTGTATTGTATATGTGTTGTAATTCTTTGTTTTAGGTGAAGAATATTATTATGCATAAATTTTTTATAAAATGTATTTAGACGGATTAAAAGAAATGTTACACATATCCCTCTCCCTCTCTCCCTCCCTCCCGCCCTCTCTCTCTCTCTCTCTCTCTCTCTCTCTCTCTCTCTCTCTCTCTCTCTCTCTCTCTCTCTCTCTCTCTCTCTCTCTCTCTCTCTCTCTCTCTCTCTCCCTCTCCCTCCCTCTCCCTCTCTCTCTCGCCCTCTCTCTCCCTCGCTCTCTCTCTCTCCCTCTCTCCCTCCCGCCCTCTTTCTCTCTCTCTATTCTGATTTTGGGACAACGAAATTTAATTAGGTCATTAAAGATTAGTACATTTGATACATCAATTCACTTTTTGTTCCAGTGATCTAATAAAAGTTATAAGACAATACTATGAAAAAAAAGATGTAATAAAACGGAAGAACTTATACGACAATAATGAGAAAATGCTTTTATTATTAATTTATAACATTACAATAACGCGAATTCCACAAAAGTAAAACAAAAAATTCAATTAATAGAAATTCTAACAAAAGCCACAGCTTAACCAATAGAAGAGTATACTATTGATAACACGTTCAAAACTTAAACAACGTCAATGAGTTTCCGTTCAAAAGCATGATCGATTCAATCTACTCCAAATCTGAAAGAACAAGTAAAAGATTATATTTACCCAAACACAATTTCTAATGACGTTTTCTTTTGATAAAAACATGAGTTTACTTGGTTTATCCGTATTTTTTCTTTGGTTGCATAATATATCTTGTGATAGTTTTTTCCAAGTAGCATTCCAAACGTTTTCTGGATTTGTGATACTATGTGTTAGTAATAGGACACAAAACAGCTTGTGTAGATCCTTTGCTGATGTCCAATAACATGCTTCTTTAATAACTTCAATATTTTCTTCATCATAGTCCTTGCAGATAACAGAAGAAGTTATTTTTTTTCTAAAAAATGTCATTAGATTAAGCTTTGAAGAAAATAAGCAACTTAAAATGTAAACCATAAGAAAATGTAAGATATATATAACAGTGTTGATATGGTTGCACGATAAGTTAGTATCAAATAATATTTTGCGGGTGTTATTACTAAAACATGAGTGTTATTACTAAAACATGAGTGTTATTGAGTGTTATTACAATGCAATTATTTTAAAAATTGAGTGTTATTACAATGCAATTATTTTAAAAAATTTCATGAGCACAAGAAAAGACTCAATGTGTGATTCTTTGAAATAAATAATAATAAATAACGCGGATAGTGACAAACGACTAAATGTGTTGTTCCTGGAAAATATTCACAAAATTTTTTTTTAAAAAAAAATTCGAGATCACTCGCCCTTGATTTTTTGTGGGAATGTTTTTTGTTGACAGAGTGTTGATCCTCCAAGGTTACTGTCATGATCTTCTTGGTTTTTTCTTTTAGACAAATGAGTTCCTGAAAAATCACCACCAAATGAAATATCACCCAAGGACTGCAACATCATGACCTGCAAGAGAAATAGTTCATCTCATTAGTATGCTATTGTAACTATAAAATCTAAGCAATTATAAAGTGTAATACCGACTTAGGAGGCAAAGTAGAAAATATTAATTTTTTATAATAAACATTTAAACTGAATAAAGAAAGTTATTAAATCTACAATATCATAAGCTGATTTGAATTAAATATTAGTCTTCTTGTGCAAGTTATATTAATTTAAAATAAGGCATGAAGCAATTTAAATAAATATATTAAAAAATTGGAAACAAAATTTCATAATAAGCCATAAAGCAATTTAAAGAAAGATATTAAAAATTGACTGTCATAAATTTGCAATAACTGACATACCATTTAAGACAAGTAATTGATGGCAAAATAAGGTAATCAACATATCAACTTTCGCAAGTAATTGATAACAAAATAAGGCAAGTTAAACGGATTAACTAATTAAAAGCTTTACCAACAAGGTATATCTTTCCTAATACCATAATATGAGTATAAAATTAAATAATAATAAATAGTTTTGATTTTGATATATTGTAAATTTATAGAAATATATAACACAATCCCATAGAAACCTGTAAAAAATGTGATAAAATTTTTAAATATAACCCATAAGTAATATAAAATAAGAAGAATAGTTATGAATTAAAGATATCCCATAGAAACCTGCAAAAAATTGTCAAATTTTGTTAGCAACTGTACAATATAAAGTAATTTAATAGATTTCTAAATTTTATTGAGACAAAAATAATATTAAATTTGCATATCGCTATTGAAACAAACTGAAAAATGGTTTGTAGTTAACTACAACCGGTCTTTCGTCTGTGTTGTTAATAGAAAAAAACAAACAAATGTAAGAATTTATAAATTTAAATTTTTTTATCGAATAAAAATAGACTAACAAGTTAGTATTGACATCCCTTAGGTGTCTCCTTTATATATACTCTACCTTCCTTTTTTCTTATGTTATTAGGGAGATATTTTCATAAGAAATGATGTTTAGGAATACAATTCAATAATAAATAATGAAACAGTTCAAAGAAAGATATTAAAGTTATATTGTCATTAAATGATTTACAATTAATATGTTATAAACTTGTGCAATTAAATCATATTCAAAATAAGGTAAGTTTTTAAAAACGAATTAACAAATTAGAAACATTAAGGTAAATTGCATTAAAACAATGTAATAAATATGATTTGAAGTTGCACAAGTAATATGTGTTCAAAATAAGNAGATATTAAAGTTATATTGTCATTAAATGATTTACAATTAATATGTTATAAACTTGTGCAATTAAATCATATTCAAAATAAGGTAAGTTTTTAAAAACGAATTAACAAATTAGAAACATTAAGGTAAATTGCATTAAAACAATGTAATAAATATGATTTGAAGTTGCACAAGTAATATGTGTTCAAAATAAGTTTATAATGACGAATTAACAAATTAGAAACATTAAGGTAAATTGCATTAAAACAATGCAATAAATATAATTTGAAGTTGCACAAGTAATATGTGTTCAAAATAATGTAGGTTATTAATAAACTAAAAAAATAAGGTTAATTACATTTAAACTATAGATATTTAAATATTAAATGATATATAATAAGGAAAGAATAAATATAAAAAGTAGTTGATGTAATTTTTTGATTAATAAATATTACTATATATATTTAATTTTATTTAAAAAGATCATATAATTGCAAACCAAAAAAAATATATCAATTTTAATTAAAAAGATCATAAAACAAAATCATAATCAGCAAACCAAAGAAATATATATATGTATATATAAGCTTATAATTCTAAACAATAATATAAATCTACCAATCAAAAAAAAAAGTATTGGCAGCACAAAAAGATGCTATTGAAATGATACAGCTGAGAGATGTTATCAAATAGAGAAATTTTTTTTACCAGATTGAGGAACAAAGATGTTATCGAAATGATATATCAAAGAGGTGTACAATCAAATCATATATAGCTTCAGTGGAGAAATCTTCATAATAGGATATCTGCATATAAACCAAAAGAAAAATCAGCTCTCATGAAATATAAAAGCTTAATGTTCTAAAATAAGAAGAAAAAAAAAGTTCAGAACATTATTAACATAAGAAGTTCAGAATACAAAGTTCAATGATTTCATTTCTTCTACTGTAAATGTCTTATTTATAGTAAATTGATGGACGTTTCTCAATGATTTAACTTGCATGATAAGCTAAGAAGTAACATATTCTCTAATAAATTCTCAATAAATCTTATACTTATAAGGTAATATTATTTTTGGAATATCTTGTTGATAAAGCTAAAGGAGAATATCTCGTGAATAGATTGCACCAGAATTTTGGTTTAAGTTTTAAATGCATGATTTTAGGAGAGAAAATATCTTATCAATTAATTTTGTTTTAAATGCATGATTTTAAGAGTGAAAATATCTTGTCAATTAATTTTGTTTCTCTGACATCTAAAATATTTAATGAGTATTTAATGAATTAAACAGAGAAAGAATCGCAAAAGGATGTTCTTTGAATCGAGAAAACACAAAAGGTAAGTATTTAAATGGATTTCTTTTTTAGTAGTGTCGATAGTAAAAATAAATCAAAAAATAAATTCTAAAAAATCAACCAATAGAATCGCTAGAATTCTTCTGAGAAGGGCAAATGTACTTCTCTTTTAATATATAGAGGGATCCCTCAATTCTTAAATAGCTTTTATGCAGTATTTTAAAAATTTGTTATATATTTTAGAAAAAATATATTCTCTGTTTGCGACCTGCGATAATGTATCTAAATATTTTAAATATGAATGTGTTAATTTATTAGTAAACATATATTATTTAGTAATACTTAAATTCTGAAATAGCCTTTATGTAGTATTTAGTGAATTTTTAACATATTTTAGTATAATATGTATGTGTGTTTTTCTAACAATAATTATATAAAGGATAAGAAATTATTACTATTTTTTAACATATTTTAGTATAAAATAAAATGTATGTGTGTGTTTTTCTTACCAGGATAAGAAATCACATAAAATTTAGATTTATGAAAATATATTATCGCAGTTTGAAAACCGGAATTATATTTTATACTAAATTTAAATATATATATACATATATATATATATATGTATATGTACTAATGTTCTAAGGAGTTAGTATATTTAATTTATAATAATGTTCTAAAGAGTTATATATATATGTATCGTTGAGAGTGTTTGGAAGCCTAGATTATGTTGTTCTAGGTTAACTTTTCCCTGCCGATTTTAAAATAAATCAAAAATAAATTAGCAAAAAGGAACCAATAGAATTAAAAGAATTAATCTAAAAGTGTCTTCTATGAGTGTCACGTAAGCAGAAATCACTAAAGTGACTTTTCTTTTAATGTATAGGGGGTTTATGAATACATATGTGTTGGCTTGTCTTTCAGTCATTAAACATGTGTATTGGGTGTACGAAAGGGTGGTCAGCAAGGAAATGTATGGGATGATGGCGTTCACGAAAATGTTAGAATTCGTTATAGATTTTTGTGTTTGGATTCCAAAAATGTAAAATGTGATAATGATATGAGCCAAAAATGTAAAATGTAAGCCCAAAACAATATAACCTCAGAAATAAACCCACGAATGTTTTGGAGTGTGTAGATAACGTTAAGTGAGCGACAGAAATAAACCCACGAATGTTTTGGAGTGTGTAGATAACGTTAAGTGAGCGAATTTTAGGTTAGAAAAAGTTATGAATAAAACGACAGTGTATAAGCCTAATGGCATTGGATGGTAATTATTGAGTAAAACTTAGGGTAAAGTACAAAATGTACTTCCCTTTTAATAGATTATATTTGAATATTATTTTATCTTGGACTTCAAATGGGTGACGCAGTTCAAAATATGCAGATCAACACAAAAGGCAGATCAATCAGAATAAATGCAGATCAAATAAATATGCAGAACAAATGCAAATCAATTAATTTATCCAAATTATCACTATTAATTAAATTACCTGGGTGATTTACGGTTTGGATTGGGTCCATGGGTTAGAATATTTAAGACCCATTTAGGAACTCAATATTTAGAAATGATTAGTTTGAATAATTAATGTCGGATTTATGTTAGTTATTTTAATAATATCTGAAATAACTGAATAAAAATTATTCCGGTTTATTTCAAGTTTAAAGACAAAAAAACGAAGGTAAAAACCCCACGAAAATCAAATTAAAACCCTAAAACTGAAAAACTATATCAAGTATTCAGATGTTTTAAATATTTTTTTATTTATTAATTATATATATAGCAATTTAAAATTTAAGATAATTAATCTTTTATTATATTTTGATATGCAAGTATCTATTCTATTTTGCTCCAGTTTTTATTTTCATATTTAAAAAATAATACTCATCTGAGTTTTGATTTTGATTTAGTTTCAATTTTGTTTTTTTTTGTTATGTTATGGTTTGATTTTTGAATTTAGAATAATATGGCCAAGAATATACTGAGTAAAATTTTAATAATATTTTAATATATTACTATAAAAATGCAAGTTTTAGTTAAATATATAATAAACTTTAATATATATGTTCTCTATCAATGTAACGGTTGTAACCAAATATTAATTATTTTAGTTATATTAATTAAAGAATAAAAATATAATATAATATCTATGTTATATATATAATTTCCGTGAAGCAAAAAAAATTAGATGACACAAAATAATATGTATGACTATTTTTGTAAGCAGAATATATAAACTTATGGATATGTTAAATATATATTCAATGTAAATATTTTTATAAAAAAACATATTTTATAAAATAATTTTATTTTAAAACAAATTATTTAATAAAATAAAAATATTAAATCTTATTGTAAAGATTTCTTTTTTTTGTTTGAAAGTGAAAATGAATTAATAAAATAGCTTATTTAGTAATAATCAATAAAAATAATTATATTTGTATTTATTGGTCATCTGCAAATGTTCCAGTCATTTTTCCAGCTTATGTGCAGATCTAAAATTTTATGAAAAGCTGTAATATGTATATATGAAATTTATATTACGAATTACCATGTAAATGCTGACTTTATTGTTTGAAAGGATTGAATGATGGTCCAATATTTTGTTTAGTGGGTCCAAAGTTATCTAATTGAATTAATTGTTTTCGTAATTATTGTAAACAAAATGATTTGGGTTTAGAAAAAGCTCGAAGGTTAGTTACAACTTACAGTCAATCCAATGTTTTCTTTTAGTTAAAATGAAAAATAACAAAGTTTTTACGTTAACACTGAATCTAATTATATAAAGAAGAGTTTGTGTCTCTCATGTTCATCCACGTCATTAAATCAATAACTCTCAGCATGCCATGTGTCGAAATGAGAAGATAGGCTGCGTTTCAAATTTGTTCACCTCATATGGGCTTTTATTGTTTAATGGCCACTCAAATTTACACGATCCGTCCTGTTAAAGCGATGACGTCATATCGTGTCTCCACGACTTGAAATTCACCGTCGATGTTCGCGTGCTCCGGTTCTTGGAGGTGAGGAATATCAGGCGTGGAAGAGAGCTGATGTGGGTCGACATGCTTATGGTCGAAATGTAAGAATCTGCTTTATATTCCTGTGAATTTTGAGAATCGTTTGTTAGAATTGCAGAGTTTCTTAATTAAACATTCCCCGGGAAACTTTTTGACAATGTTTTTTTTTTCGTTTTTTTTTCTCCGTCCGGCCAAAACTCACCGCCGGCGCAATGTACTCCCTTTCCGGTTTTGATGTGTGTCTATGTGCCCAGACCTTTTGCTTAACCGATTCACTACTCGCTCCAATGTAGCTATACAAACACGTCGAGGTAACGTATTCAATCATCTCCACACCGCCACTATATGTTTTCGTAATTATTTCATCTTCATGATGTTAGTTTACTGAGAATTATGAATTTCTTATCAGAGGAACGAGTTAGAACTATATGAAATGTGGAGACTGTTTGAATAGGATTTGACCAACAAAGTACTTATACACGTTTTATATTTGTTCGATTTTCAATGATTAGTTCATATCGCTCACCACATGTTCGACAAAATGACTGAAAGGTGTTTAATACTTAGTTTATCAGTGAAACAACACTCTATAGAGCTCCACAGTCTTCGCTTGCTTCAGACATGAATGTCTCCTACAGTACAATCAACATGGGCGTACGTACATTGTTTATTCCGATGTGGGTTATTACTCATGCATTTTCTAAAAACTGTACCTCTAATTGGTCGGTTCTTGACCAGGTTATATGCAGCTCACCTACATCTGCAACCTCTTCCTTTGACACTATCTAACAGAGACGTACCAGCTATTACAAAGAAGTTGGTTAAGGTACGTGGACTGGGGTATTTGATTATCTTCTTAAACACTATCTTGGATTCAAATGGTGTTGCGTTTAAAATGATGTAACTACTATAAGATATTTGTGACCTCTCACATTTCCAACTCGCATTGGCTCTGTAACAGTTCATTTACTGGATTTAATACATGAGGTCTATGTATTTATGAAGAACCATAGCATACCCCAATGCCTTTCCAGAGATCTTGAAATTCTTTAAATCATACTCTGTCAGAATGAATAATACATCTAAACGTGTTGCAGAGTCTGATACCGGCCACTGGAGTGGTTCAAGGGGCAGAGGAGGTCCCATCAGTGACGACATACCAGACGTTACCCATGTCATCAATGGCTGCAGTATGTACGTTTTGCTACTGAAGGTTTGTATGATAATGCAATCTACATATATAGTATAATTATTTTATGTAGGGGAGACCATGAAGTTGGAAAATCAATGTTGGATAGCCTCGGTTGGAGAAAAAACTCAGAACGCGCTGACCGGTGCTGGAAAAATATAAAACGATCTCTCCATGGTGTTAGCGTGACCACACTTGACGCTTACCTTACAGCTCACACACACACACATGGGAGATAATCAACTGTCACCCATACAACAGTAACGAACGATGTTCAACGTGTTTTTATTATAAGCAAATTACTAAATTTGTTTACATGACCTGATTATATCAGGAACGTGACTTTTCTCATTTCCCTTTTTCCAGATTCTGAAACAAATAAAAGAGTTCCTTTATTGGTTGTTTGTAGTTTTTTAAACAGTTTTTGATTTTTGTTTCTCTAAAAACCATATTTTTACTAATCAAGATTTTAAGAAAGTAGATTCCCTAAAATATAGAGAAACTAGCTTTTGTAATTAACTACTTATTTTCAAGCAAAAGTCAAAAATCATTTTCTTGGTTCTCTCAACAATGCACGTTGGCTTTGTATTTTTTTTGTTTTAATTTTTTGTATTTATGTATCAATATAATAAAAAGAAATGAAAAAAAGACTGAAGTGATAAAATAGTAAGTAGTCCAAATAACTATATTCAAATAGATATTTTACCATATAACTATTGTACATCTAAAAGTATTATAAAATATTATAAAACAATCTTATACCAAGGAATAAAATTTAAAATTATTTGTTTTTTTTTTAATTTCAGAATAAACCAATTGTCATGTTTTATTGATAATCTATATACTTAATTTTTTATTTATCGATTTGGTAAGTCACATTTATTAAAATTACTGCATATATAATTATACTACAAACAATACTTAGATAAATAACAAATCAAATTGAGAAAAGCCAAATATTTAGAGAATAGTCAGATACTTATATCTCACATTAAATTATGCATTTTTACTCAAAACAAATATTTCCAGTGTAAATATTCATTGTCTAGATTTTGGTACTGTAGATTATCCAAAACCAAAATCTAAAATCACCATTTATGTTTTCAAAACAATATTATACTGCAAAATCATAATCAAAAATCAAAATCTAAAATCTAAAATCCAAAAATCTAAAACCAAAAACCAGAATCTAGAATATAAAAACCAAACAAACAATCATCATCTCTATATCAGTAGCGGAAAAATTACAGCACAATTCTATCAATCTCACCAACAAGTTTACTTTCCCTGTCTAATATTTGCTTCAATCGATTTTATTAACCAAATACGATGAACCATAAAATATCAAGCCCACTTAAAATACATATAGAGGAGAGTTAAGGGAGGAGAAGACAGCCAAGGATGTTCGATTATACAACAAACAATTTGGTATGGAAAAATAATCCAACATTCTAAAACATACAAAAAATACTTATCACATGATCTCTTTAGAAAAGAAGAGCGTTTGAGCACCACTACGACCAAATGAAGTAACAGAATAAAGGTAAACTATAAACGTCATCGTACCATCTGTTAAAAACTAAACGATAATTAAAGATAATTAACTTAACCAAAAAAATATTTAACTAATTACAAATAAACAACTTCCTAAATCATCAGATAAAATACTTCAACAAAATTCATAACAAACGCAAACCGCTCCAAAAATATAACCTCAGCTTAAATTAGTTAAACATCTCGGCATGCAAGAAATGATTATCAACGCAGTTCAGAAGCAAAAAAACAACCATCATACCAAAATGGACTCATACATAGGAATAACCACATGAATGTTCATAATATTTACGATTTACATATGCCACATCGCACACGATGAATAAAGATCCACTATAAACACATAGAAATATTCAATATGGCACTCACTGCCAACAACACCAATGTCCAAATATATAAATATCTACAACTCAGAAAAAATCATATCCGGGCGTACTATGTTAAGCTGTAACCATGGACATAATATCTATGGACAATCACTATTGTGTTAATAACCAGATAAATAAAAATACAAATTTATATATTCGATACATCCATAACCAAACCAAAGTAAATTATGAAAAACATATAATACCATCCCTCCACAATTTTTAAAATTACAAAACAATAACAAACCAAAACTTTTCAATGCAAATATATAATACAAAGCAAAAAACATACACAATTCTTAACGTATAAGTATATCCCGGCGGGTCGACCCTAGTAATTTTATATTTGATGTTAAATGATTTAATTTAATTTACTTGATGAAAATATTTAATGCAATTTAAGTGGAGAAAGAGTGAGACTAACTGCAGAAAAGAGCGACAATGACATTTTAAGGGAAAGAGTTAGTCCTATGTGCTTTATCTATTTGGGCACTAAAATAAGAGACTTCTTTTGGTTCACAAGTCGCTTTCATTGGTTGACAAGTCGTAGAAAATTCAATGGAAAAACTACTCTAAATTTTGGCAAAATTATATATCAAAAAAACATAATAATAAAGCGTTATTGTACTATAATTAAAAACCTTAGATCTACACACATGTATACAACTTATGTTTTAAATTAAGCACACAAAAGAATTACCATCAATAATAAAAAGAATAGAGAAGTTGCAACAATACATAAACGTTAGGTAAGTAACTTTTGTCTTTCAATGAGTACTCCAAACTCTTGCAAGATAAATTATGTTCACATCCTCCATATCACATCAATTTCACAAGCATTCTGCCGATCAGTTTACTGTTTTACCACAGTTGAAATGGAACTATATTAAGGTAATGATCCACAACTTATGCGGGATGAGAATGTTGGAGAAAATAATTCAATTTACATAACAATTTTGTTCAATCTGTTGCCATTACCGGCTCTTGATAGTAGAACATAGGCTTTGATCTTGTTGCAAGTGGTTCGAGGCAGGAGAAAACTACCATTAGAGGTTGAGCAAGGACTCATGTCGTCTGTAGTCTTGCTTTGATATTTCTTGGTTTGTTTTTCATTGTTAAGGACACCTTAACCTTGATTTCACTAAAGTAATGTTGTAATCTCTCGCACACTCTCAACAACATAGACTTCAGAGTTCAAACACACAAGCTATAATAAAAAAGGTTACAAAAGATTCGAAACAAACATGATGAGTTCGTTTCCTTCAAATAGCTATATGTTTTTCTATGAGACTGCATTTAGAAAATACTTGATGGAAATATGTATGATTACTTTCTGTTACTCATGCGTAATGCTTACAAGTTAATATTGCATTTATTATCCAACTAGATTAAGATTCGCGTCTTGCGCGGAATGATAATTGTATATATAAATTATTTTGTATAGGGAAAATTCCATATAAATACTCCAACTAAATTTTATTAAGCTTTTTAATACCCAAACTTTTTCGCTACCCAGTTTTATACCTCAACTAATTATTTTGCCCATTTTAATGCACAAACTTTTATAAATGTGCCCATTTTAATACGCAAACTTTGTTTATTTTAAGGGAAAATTCCATATAAATGCCCCAACTAAATTCTATTAAGCTTTTTAATACCCAAACTTTTTCACTACCCAGTTTAAAACCTCAACTAATTATTCTGTCCATTTTAATACATCAACTTTTATAACTGTATCCATTTTAATACTCAAACTTTGTTTATTTTAATTAACAATACTAATAAGTTTCCAATGAAATTTTAAAAATGTCTAAACTTCACAAAAAAATTAATTTTATTATATGTTTGAGTAACGAAATTAAATAAATTTTTTATAATCTTAAGTTTTGTAATAAGTTTTTTTTTAGTTTTATATATTGAATTTAGTTTGTTTTTTTGAAATAAAAAGTAAATTATTTTTTTTCCTTCAAAAACTTTTTTTTTAAAACATTAAATTTTCTACAGAGTTTGTTTACCTTATTTCTTAAATCTTCAAATAAACTTAGAAAATTTAAATATTTTTTCTTAGATTTTGTAGATTTTTTAAAATTTCGTTTGAAATTTATTAGTATTTTTAATTAAAATAAATAAAGTTTGAGTATTAAAATAGATACAGTTATAAAAGTTGGTGTACTAAAATGGGCAGAATAATTAGTTGAGGTATTAAACTGGGTTGTGAAAAAGTTTGGGTATTAAAAAGCTTAATAGAATTTAGTTGAGGTATTTATATGGAATTTTCCCTTATTTTAATTAACAATACGAATAAGTTTTCAATAAATTTTTTAAAATTTCTAAACTTTACAAAAAAATTGATTTTATTATATGTTAGAGAAATGAAATTAAATAAAATTTTTATAATCTTAAGTTTTGTAATAAGTTTTTTAAGTTTTATATATTGAATTTAGTTTGTTTTCTGAAATAAAAAGTAAATTATTATTTTTTCCTTCAAAATTATTTTTTTAAACATTTAAATTTTCTCCAGAGTTTATTTACCTTCTTTCTTAAATCTTAGAGTAAACTTAGAAATTTTAAATATTTTTCCTTAGATTTGGAGATTTTTTAAAATTTTGTTTGAAACTTATTAGTATTGTTAATTAAAATAAACAAAGTTTGGGTATTAAAATGGGCACAATTATAAAAGTTTGTATATTAAAGTGGGAAAAACTATTAGTTGCGGTATTAAATTGGGTAGTGAAGAAGTTTGGGTATTAAAAAGCTTAATAAAATTTAGTTGGGGTATTTATATGGAATTTTCCCTTTTGTATATTATTATTTATTTTATGTTTTTTGACATATGAAAAATCACACTTGTTTATTTATAATCACTTATAATTATAGAAGTAAATTTAAATAATAAATGATATTAACAGAGATATATATAGTATACTTTTTGTTTGGCTATCTATTAAATGAAACTTCATACTTACATAGTCTTATGAGTATTGGTATATTTTCATAACAAAATTTTTATACCATTGATAACATACATTTCAATGTGTGACATTTTATATTTATAGTAATATCTAACATTAAAAAGTCATTTCAAAATTTGAAACTAAAGTATTAAATTCACAATATTTGTTCAATATAAATTTTAAAATTAAACTGTTTATGTATTTTAGATAGTATATAGTTTAATTTTATTTCATTAAAAACATATATTTATATATATATATATATAATATAAATATATATATATATACATTTAATCTGAATGTCTATTAAATGATATTTATTGTTCATTGCTTTTATAAGCCTTTTTATTTTGTTATAAAAAATTTAAACTATTAATTAAAATATTCTATGCGGAATGTTTTAGGCTTATATTAATTTATATTTATTTTACAAAATTCAATATATAACATATACAAAAAAAATCTCAATTTTTTTCTTATGTAGTTAATGTTACTATTTAATTTATTTTCAAAATTTAAATTTAATAAAAAGAATAGAAGCTACATAATTTTTTATCAAATAATTCTTATTCATTAATTTTTAATCATATAAGGTAATTCCGTAGCTTTTATTTAGGAAAAGAATGAAGAGTGTTAATAATAGTTTTATGGTTAGTTTAATAAAAAATATATTATATATTTATATGGACCAACATTTATCTCTAGAGATTTTGGGAATCATTATGTAATACCTAAATTGTTGTAATGATTCTCTTTAATATATATGTGATAAAAACCCGCACCTAGCATTTAACTCTATTTAATAATTTATTAAACTTGTTTTAATTTTTATTAAAAAGATATTCCCTCTTGTCAAAAAAAGATATTCTCTCTGTTTTCAAAAATTTGCTTGATTATTTTTTTGTTTCGAAAATATTATACTTTTACTAACTGATGTTAGAGCACCATTTACCCCATCTTTTAAGTGGATTTTTAAGAAGTGGGTCCCATGATTTTGATAAAAATCATCTCTTCCTCCTCTTCAGAGGCAACTTTGCTTAGGTTCTTGTACTATTCATAGATCCCACTAACACTAACGGCCCATGATTGATTTGTTTTTTATTTTTATTTTTAAATCAGACAAAAAATGAACTTTTTAGTGTTAATCATGCTCTTAGTGAACATTATAGATGTCCGCCAAGTTCAGAACTTGATTAGAAAATAAATTTAAGAAAGAAGAAATGAGAACACATTGCTTCCTCCAGTTGGAACTACAACAAACCACTTTCACTAAACTAACATGCATTAGTATTGTAGATGTCCTTAAAACTGAAACTAGGGATTATTATAATAAGAAACATCAATTCCTTCCACTACGTTCTATTGAACTCTACCTATTTTATCAAGAAAAAAAGACCAAGAGACATAAAAGCAGCCATTTCGTAAGCTAGAGAGAAAACAATAAAGTTGCGCAGGTTTGTTTGTACTATTTTTATTGTTTTATCTACAGATATATCGATAAGTTTTTTGCTTTGATGATATAAAATAGGATGTGTTCAATGAAATGAATTAACCTATATTCAATATTTATTGCAAAATATTACATATAATTAAAATGGAAAATTTCGATACAATAACTATAGAAAGTTTCTTATACTCATTTTATAACTATAGAAACTCGTATGGCAAAATTTAATACACTATATATTTGTGATTAGTATCGTTAGTTGTATATTTGGTTGTTTCCAAAAATATATTGCATTATTTTGCATAACTTTTTCCAAAATTAATATTATAATAATGTAATATTTGTAACACTTTTTTTGCAAGTAAGTACTTTAGCTTTTGGAACATGCAAAATGTATACGTCATTACTTCGTGTACATCCCTTATGATTTATCATACGTCATTATTACAATCATTTTCACTCATAAAAAATGAAATGACAAATTAGGAAAGATAACATGGACAATTATATTGAATGTTGATTATGTTTCGGTTAACATTTAAAATATAGTAATAATTCATACATCACCATAAAAGAAATCTATTTGAATATAACATTAAATAATATAGGAAGAATATAACTTTTTAAGATTCGAAATATTATTTTAATCTAATTTTATAATCATACAATTTTATTATTAAAAATATTTTCCAAATTTTATACAATTTATTTAAAATTATAAATTTCTAATCATTAACATTTGTTTCTTTCTGTTATACAAAATTTTAAGAAATTATTTTTAGTTTTATGTTTTGATAATTATACTGTTTTATATCTATTATAATTTTATACAAGTTGATTTAATATATCTTAACCCAAATAACTAAATAAAAATCTATCTAAAATTATAATTGTAAATATATACATATAAAATATTTATTTCAATAGATACATATAAATCTAATTAAAACTAAATCAAAATATTTATTTTATCTTAGTTTTATGTTTCATTAAATCAAAATCTATATTAAAATATTGGTATAAAATAACCAAATCTAAAATAGTAACAAAGTTTATTTTAAATATGATTTAAATTTAAAATTTTTATTGCTGCAGATGTTGCAGAAAAACACATACATTAGTATATAATAAATATCTAAACACTATGTTAACCAAACTAAATAAACAAGTTTTTTTTGCTAAAATTTGGCTAAGTAAACGAAGCTAACAAAACCGAAATCATACCTAAACCAAAACTGTATGACTAAAATGGCCAAAACATGTGTTTGATACTTATACATGGCTTACAACTTCAGATCTATATATATACTGATCCAGAACGTGTGTTTGATACTTATTGCCTCAAATGAGTTTGAACATGGGACTGAAATCTCTCAACACATCTACTGAGTCTATTATATATAGGTGTATAAACATGTACCATTTGGAGAAATGACTGTGGATATGGTCCATGGTTATATGATGAGCAGAGTCCAACTGATATCTTTGTTTAAAATATATTATTCAAAACGATATAAACTTTTCTTAATTCAAACTATGTTGTCTAACCCAACCGATCCTAAAAACACACATGATGATGTGAGTTAGTCAGTTAGCTGGTACATGGTTAAACACTACACACGTTCATAATGATGTAACACGTTTGATTTTTGCGAGTCGTGAATTTGTTATAAATATTCAACAAAGAATTGTATACAACGACCATGCTTATATTTTTCTAGCACTTATAATACAGAAAGGTTTCAGTCAGTAACCGGTCGGTAAATCTTTTATGCTCGAGTTTGGTTTATAAAACTGCTTAGCATATCATATACCAAAATATCTACAACTGCAAACTTTGCATGTCTTATGAGGATTGAAATCTAACTGCACTACTCTAAACCATTTTATGAAAGTCATGTTTAAAATCATAAGTAAACTATTATCTAGACCACTATTTCACAACATTGGAGAAGAGTAATGTCAATGCCAAGTTCCATAAGAGAAATCCAGAGATATCTAAATATATTTTTCTTATTTATAATTTTTTCACAAACCAATACATAAAGATAATCTTTAAATGGGCAAAAGAGATGGGGCTGCCTCTTTATTTTTATTTGATAGATTTTCTTTTGCAAAAATCTTTACGGTGCAGAAGAGTAAATGATACTTGTGATGTAAGCCAACACATCAGGATCACGGTCGGTAAAACACTCCACCACATCCACACCCATCTCCTTCATCAAATTCGCCACATCTCTCTGCCTATCTATCAACGCACTTCCTCCTTCTCCAATCACCATCACCTTACATCTAATCCGTCCGATTTTCTCCATATCCTCCGGTCCACCTCCCACCCTCGGATTCGAATACTTGTGATCCCGGTCAGCTCCGACAGGGAGACGAATCTCCCAGCAAAAGTCTCTGAGAATCTGATCGTTCACGTGTCTGAGCTCAGACTCGCACCGCTCTACCCCGCCGAAGAAGGGCTCGTGTAAGATCAACCCCCGGATCCTTAACGGACGCAGATCAGTGTCGACAAATCTAAGACAGACGTTGTAAGCCACGTTACCACCGGAGTGTGTCCCCATGAGGAACACGTTGGAGAGATCAGCGTGAGATTTGATCCACTCGTGTTCGGAGTTTTTTATCCACTCAACCGCGGCCACTCCGTCGTCGTAAACCGCCGGGAGTCTCGTCTCTGTACCTCGCCGGTACGAAGCTGACGCGACGACCACGTTGAGTTGGCGTGCCATAAGGTTGCAGAAGTCTTCGACTGGTTCGTAGTCGAAGCTGTGGGTCAAGAATCCTCCACCGTGGTAGAAGACAACGAGAGGGAGTTTTTTTGACGAAACGCCGCCGTTTAGTGCGGTAGTGGGGACGTAGAGACGCATCCATGTTGGCTTTACGTGGTTTACGATAATGTCTTTGGAAGCGACGGCGTTGAGCGGGGAAGGGTTAGGTGTGGCTGGCACTGGGATTATGGTGGGGTCGGGAGCATAGGTGCCATCTCGATTCTTTATGAGGCCTGTTCCAGCGAGTCTAGCGTAAATATCAGAGGCGTTAAATGATTCAGACATATCTGTTGTCTTTTTGGGTTGAAAGTCTTCTGTTGTGTATGATACTGATACTTCACGTCTTGTCCCATTTTATAGTGCTAATTTATGCAATATTATACTAATTATTTATCAATATTATTAAACACATGAGCATTTTTCTATCTACTTGCACAATATCAAAGTTTGACAATTAGATTTGACTAACATTTTCAAATCTTAATATTAGCAGTTATTAAAAAACATACAATTAATTTATCTTTTATATACTAAATCACAAAAATAAAAAAATGTTTAAATAAAAAAATAAAAAGGAATAAATAACAAAAGTTTACACATTATATACGTTTAAATATTTACTGGACAAGATAAAAATATTTTCTGTTCATCTCCCCACTCACCATGATCACCAATAACAACCAATCTCCTAATAACTACCAAAATTCTTGCATTTATAGTTGTTCCATGTTACGATACGATGTGTAAGGACAATTTGTGTAGAATATCTCTCCTAATAACTAAGAAAACATTTTTTCCCCCTCTAAATACACTTTTTTAATATCCCTCCCAGAAACCCATCATGCATCATGATATCTCAGAAGAAGCCATTGTTGTTAAACTTCAAAAGTGTAAAGAACAAATAAATTTTACAGTCTACGAAAAGGCTATAAAAATGGATTCCAGGTATAAGTATTGTATTTTACTGATCTTTTATCAGAAAGAAAGTATGGTATTTTGTATGGTTTCTTTCAGATTGATATTTGTTTTATTTGTTCTGGCATCAAATATAAAAGTCATGATAAAATCTATAATATCATTAGTTTGTGATTTATGTTGAAAGGTTACTTTAATAGCAAGAATATAATTCTTTGTTTATTTACCAAATGAATATATTTTAAAACTATGTATAAGTAGAAAAACTAGAGTCTGCTTCCTTTTTCATTATAAGAAATATAATCTTAACAAAACAGATTTCATTATTGGTAATTTACATTTAGTGAGCTCTAATAAAATTGGAGTTTTACGAAATTTTTACAGCCAAACTAGAAGAGAGTTTCAGAATTGAGCTCAAATGGGTTTTCCATACTATTATGAATTTCTAGCACAAGAGCTCAAATGAAGTCCAGGTAAATTGTGTATTAGTAAAATAAGTAGATAGTAATCTGTGGAAAAGCGGGTTTTGTTTCCACACTAACAATTTACAATGCATGAGTCAGTTTCTGTATATTTGATCATAATGTTCAGGAACATAAAATTTAAATCCTTAACTGTTGTATTATAACGCAAGTATATATGTTGTCTACAGATATTGCAATTCGTCGAGTATCACCAATTTACCATTCAATAACCTTGGCCACAAAACATACTAACTTAACATAATAAATAATTTATTTATTTTTCGTACGCAGTACGGGGTAGACACTAGTATACCATAATCCACACCTTCTTTAACATTATTCATTTGTCATATATTCTTCTTCTTTTTCTTCACCTATTACAATATACTAGATTTTTTATCCGCGCTACGCGCGGATTGTTTGGTATAGTTAAACTTTTATTCAATCAATTTATTTATGTTTATTTTAATAATCTATATTAATATTTGTAAAGTGATTTTTCGTCTTTGAATTCTCATATTTAAAGTTAAAGCGACTAAAAGATTCATTATCCTTAATAAATAAATAGATTTGTTAATATATAATTAACAATTAATTAAAAAGAAATTTATTGATTTGATAGTTATCATTGTCTAAAATAAATTCTTATTGTGTTATAAATATTATAGTTTTATAACTAAATTTTACTGACAAATTTTACGTATCACAAAACAATATTTTTTTTAAAATAATGGGGTCAGCGATCCCTTCCTCTTATACTGTCTCTTCCCCTGCATGATACTACGCTATCCATATGATGATGAGTATGTTATCGATCTTTCAAGGGAGAGATATGGTTGTAGTACTTTCCTTTCAAAACATGTGCTAGTAAGAAATTTGGGTATTGAATTAATCTCCATAATTATTTTGCAAGATTTTCTTAATAACTTGACTCTTTTCATGATGATTAGCTGCATAGCCTCCACTTGAGAGCATATTTTTATTTTGCCAAAAAGAAACCGTCGAAGAATGTGCCATAGATTTTTCTTGGAAAGTTCTCTTGATCTTCAGCAATATTCACAATCGTAAACTTTTCCTGCTTTGTAGAGAGTAAAATTTACATTGCTAATATCAAAACTTGACTCATATATATCAAAACTACTTAACTTTACAAAATCTCCACACAAAGTTTATTTTGAATAGCCCTCTTAGAAAATCTCCCAAACCTTCTTTGCTTCAGCTGGAAATTTTGGTGAATCATTTGTATTTAGAATATATCAAATGTTTAAAACAATTTTTAATAATTAATTAAAAATTAGCTTAACAACTTTATTATACTCTTTCACATGGTTAGAGCACTTGCATTAAAAAGAATTCCACGTGATTTTGGAATGGATTTTGATATAGATAGATTAGTGTGGTCGAAGGGGACATATTGTTTGTTCCAAACCAATATCTGAAGGAGGTAAACAAACACTGGAGATATATCACTGAACACAATACGCATCATTGGTTTTCCCAGGAACACGTCCAAACCCCACAAAATTGTAGCTTCAAGTTTTACAAATAGATCTACGACTTTACAGTTTCCATGTATGGCTATATTATGTTCCCTGAGGATATGAGAGAAATAAAAAAAAAAAGCAGGCTTGTTCTTCTTTGGCATCAACTTGAGCATCAATTCTCAACGCGCTAACATCAGGAACATTAGGTGAGCTCCATGTTCTTCTTGTACCGTTTTTATTACCAGCACTTTCAGGGCTACCTCTCTCGTCAATGTCTATCACATAGTTAGGACTCTCACCGTGACATCTACTCAAGTTGATGCTTTCACTGCTGAAACTCTCAAAAGTCTGAGAGGATCCAGACAGAAACATGGCAAGATCATCACGCTCTTCTTTGTTAAGATCCACCCAACACAGAGGTTGCTCCCCGTTTTCACATAATGCAGATTGTACTTGTTGAACCTGGTTTTCTATAGCGGAGACAAACTGTTTATGCCTTGTCAACGTAGTAGTGTCGTCTCTACAATGTCCGTGACTCAACCTTATTGCACTCTCAAACTCTTCCAACTGATTTCAAAATTACAACACCACTCATGAGAATGATTCAAAAGATGTGTGTGAAGCTGTATTATTAAACCTGCCATTTAGCTGTGCCACCACATGCTGCATCCAAGCTCAAATTTGTTTGTGTCTCTCTCTATGATCACACCCGTCATTAATATAGCAGGTTCTTTCCTGTTGAAAGTCAACAAATCAAAAAGGTTTTAGAGAATGCGCTTAAAGAGAGACTAAAACCTGAAGTTTTTCTTTTTTTTTAAAGAGTAAAATAACCCAACACTTCCCCAATACTAAAGCTTGGATCTGCTGTTTGAACAGATATGTGACTTTTTTAAGCAAAACACAGTGTACCATCTTTCCATCAATGATTATGGTTTCTTTAAAGCAATTTAAAGGGATGTTTTCAGTAACCCTTACTTAAAAACACACACACTTTTCTCTTGATCAATCGAGCCATTGCTCAGAAGGATATTCTCTCTTCCTCTCTTCATTCAATAGAAGTACCATCTTGGTGTTAACACACCTTGATCAATGCTGGTTCCGGCTCATCTAGTTTCTGCTCTTGGCTTTTTAGCTTCATTTGTTTCCTTAAAGAAAACCTACATGGAGTTTGATATTACTATGCATGGTATCACCATCTGTTAGCAATAAGAGAAGAATATTTAGAGGAAATTAGCAACCTTACACAAAGGCAAATATGCGTAACCAACTCAAAAGTTGAAACAAACCTCTGCGTAAGAGTAATCGTCACCTTATGGGTCAAGATTCCAATAACACCCATATGCTCCTGTAATACTAAAACATACTTATCATACTTTTATGCAGCATGGCACACAGTCAATTTAGAAGATTTAGATCATTGAGCTCTTCGAGAACAAAATTAAGATAAAAAATAATATGCTTGACGATACAATACCTTCTCATCACGGAGAGGTTGAGTAATAACGAACTGCGAAAATCGACCGAGGCAAAGAGCGTCAAAGGCTGATTGCACAACAACAACATCGATAGAATCTATGCCGGAAGAGGAAGCCGAGCGTGTACAGTCTCCAACGATTGGACGGAAGAAGAGTTCCCGATTAGCCGGAGAGGGAGTTTTCGTGACAACGTTAGGGTTGTTCGCGGAGGTCGAAGAGTAAAACGTCGGTGGATCGCCTGCTTAGTGTACGCTTCTCAGCCACGCTTTTAGGTTAGATGACAATAATATTTATTGGCAAGATTAAGACAAATACTTTGAATGATAAGGGAGTCTAAGAGTTGNCAAACTACCTTTCTAACCGAACACAATAAAACCTTAATCAACCGTGAGAGATTAATAAGCAAAGCCAAACCGAATGTGAGCTTCATATGGACCATTGATGATGACATGGCAGTAGTTTACTCTGCTATTGGCTGATTATATTAATCCTACGTGGATACCCTAAGCTTTGAGCTTATTCCCCTTTTAATATAGTATAGATTGTCTATGACTTATTATCGTTATCCTCATTCACAATATGGTCTAAGAAATAAATATGTTAAATACATGAAATTCATGTAAAGTGTCTGGTCTGAGTCCATTAGTCTTTATCAAACAACAATAATGATGACTCTGTTTAGTACAAAGCAAAATTTGATACTATGCTAAATCTTTATTTTTAATAGTTGTATGTTTTCGGTAAGAGACTAACATGCTTAGCTACAGAAGAATGTCCATGGCTCTCTCTGTACCAAAACAAAAGCATTTTCTATCTACTTAATATCAAAGTTTGACCATTATAATTAACTAACATATTAAATATCAGCGTTTATTAATTAATCATATAATTAAGTTATATACCTTAACTCACACCTTCTTTTACATTATTAATACATATACCACATATTCTTCTTCTTTTTTTACCAGGTAAAACATATTGTCTATGACTTATTATCGTCATCCTCATTCACGATACGATCTATCAAATAAATATGTTAAATACATTAAATTCATGTAAGCTGTCTGGTTCGAGCATAGTCCATTAGTCTTTATTAAACGACAGTAATGATGAGTCTGTTTAATAAAAGAGAAAATTGATACTATGCTAAATCTTTATTTTTAATAGTTGTATGTTTTCTGTAATAGGCTTAGCCACAAAATAATGTCCATGGCTCTGCACCAAACACAACATTACAATAACATGCAAAATTTGAGGAACATATCTAATTTCACTTATAACTGATCTTGAACATGTACATGTGCATTTAGTCTCATGTAAATATATTTTGTAAACAATAAAACTGAAATTGTTACGGAACTTGGAAAACCTTACATAGGTGGTCTTAAGCAAATCTTACGTAATTAAATTTTTGCAAATAATCAATAAAATTAAGAAACTAATCAATTATTTTTGGAACTAACCAATTCAATTTAAATTAACACTGAAATTAAGGAACTAGTCAATTATTAATTATTATTAATTATTTATTAATTATTAATTATTAATTATTATTTATTATTCATTAATATAAACAATAATGATATAACTTTGTATAATAAATATAATCATGCTCTAACCAAAAATGCAAGAAAAGATTCCTTCAAAACTCTCATTAGATATGTAACAATGACATTTTTATAGTTAGATTATTAAGAATTAGATCAATCATCAATATATGTTTATTGGATAAAATAAATATTAAAAATGAATTAATATTAATATTTAATGATAGTTTTAAATGTGTATGTTTACGTTAACATTTTACTTGATGAAATATTGTAATGTAACTGCATTGGAGAAAGAATGAGACTAATGTGAACGATTTAACCAATTTACTTGATGAAATATTGTAGTGTAACTGAATTAAGAAAGAATGAGACTAACTACGAACCAATGAACGACAATGACGTTGCGAGGGGAGAAAACTTAGTCCTCCATGTTTTCTCTTTTTGTGCACTAAAACAAGAGACCTTTTATAAGAGTTCACAAGTCATTGTCACTTCTCTTCCAATGGTTAAAAAGTCGCAGAAAATTTAATCCCAAACTAATTTGAAGTTTGACAAAATTATATATCAGGAAACATAATAATAAAACGTTAGATTTTAGAATTGTGTTTATAAATTCAAACACAGAAAAATGACCAGCTATACTAAAAAAATTAGATAAGTTGCAAAAATACATAAACGTTAGGTAAGTAACATTGTCTTTCAGTATCTGGTCCAAACTTGCAAGATAAATTAGATAAGTTGCAAAAATACATAAACGTTAGGTAATATAACTTTGATGATGTGGATAGTTTTCGAAGCTAATAGTTTATTTGAAAACAACGATAAGAATTACAAATAAAATAAATAACCAAAACGAAGAAAATATAATATAAAAGAAACAAGCTTCCTTCTAAACCATCTTCTTCGATAGAGTTCTTGATGCAATTACCTTTAGCAATTGTACAATCGAAGAAATTCTAAGATTTCCTTTGCAATTTCTTTGTTGTATTACATTAGTCTTATTCCAATTTAGATCTAAAGATATTCTTTGGTTTACAATTTAATATATTGATTCAGCCATAAGAAATAAAAATTAGAAAAACCAATTTTCAAACGATTGTACGATTATCACCATACAACAAAGAAATAATTGTTTCCACTTCATATTGTTGCTTTTTCTTTAATGCATTCCATAATTCCAACAATATATTTTGATACCAAATATGTATCAAAATATAATTTCTGAAACATTTTCCCTTGATCTAGAGTAACCTTCTCTTTTTTGATTTTGAACTCTTCTTCCACATGTCGAATCCATGGTGGTTTCATTGGTAGGAATTGTTTCCACAACAAGTAACTTGAATTTGAATTCAACACAAACATATAGATTGTTTTGTCATCGGTCATGGCCACTAATTCCATGCCGGAGATAACAACAACGGATTGGGTGATGGAACGATCAACTCCTAAAACGTTGTTAATAATATTGAAACTCTTTTCTAGTAGAAAGAAGAGAAAATCGCAAAGAAATTGGTTAAAAAAAGAACCTAGAGATGCCATTAAGGAATCAAACACGTATCTGAATAACGAAGTCAACACTGTTATAAGAGAAAACGCTGCTTATAGGAGAGTCAAAATATAAAAGTGGATGGAGAACGAGAAATAAACCAAACAATGTTATATATGAAAGTATCATATTTGAACAAAAAAAAAATGAAAGTATCATATTAGCATTGAAAATATATAATATATGAAATTACACGAAAGTGGTTATACTTGTTTATATATAAGTGGTTATAAGAACAGGGCTATTCTTCATCCTCTTACAAACACAACCCCTTACACGGTTATGGAGAACATGTCTGTTGCCAAGGCTTTGGTGATATTCAGGCAAGTGCATTTGCTTATTGTACCCAAGATTCAAGCCTCAGGAGTGAGTATATTATCCATTGACTCTAACTTTACTTTCATGTTTGTTTCTAATGAATTTAACCACTAACTTCCTTTCAGATGTCTCTGTGGTAGGGATCCTAACTAGGTAGGATCTAAAGGGCATACAACATTCTACAAGTTTTTCCTCACTTGGAAAAATCCAAAGGTAGAAAAGCACACTGAATTGCTACTTTGTTTTACTTGTGGTTGTGAAATTTATCTTTGCAGCCAGGTTGTTTCCTTCCCATTCTTGAAGATGTTTCTGTCCAGTTTTGCGCTTCTTCATATTCAACAGAAGTTGATAAGTTGTAAACATTGCACACATCTCTTCTTATGCTTGTAAAATCACAAAATTGTTTTTCATCCATTAAATGGTTTCCTGGACTTTTGAAGTTCAATTGTTACAGAGAGTTGACTAACAAGAGTACTTGTCATCTCTACAACCCTACTCTTGAATACAACCAAAACTTCAAAGCTGAAAATACCTTAATGCAGTAAAAAAACATAAAAGTTCCCAGAAAGAAGCAAATGCATAGAGGTTAGAAAGAAGCAAAAGAGGCAGAATTTATTGGTGACGTAATGGCCATATTAGAGGTGATATCAGTGTTTAGCTTATATAAATGAGTCTTTGCGGTAGAGATTACTCTTCTTTTTCACTCTTCTTTTTCCAAGTGAGTCATTGATTCGATTGCGACTAAAACATTCATAATACTCTTACTAGTATTTGACTAACACACGCCATTTGAATAAAGTGTGTTAAACTATGTACAACAAAGAAACTCCAAATGATTTGCTGACCCAAAGAAAAACAATGATTCCCTTCCCATGGTACCAGTTTATGGTCGCAACTTTATCGCCAAACCACACACACAAAGACACAACAAATCCCATTACACAAACCGGAGATTAGTAAAGAACCTTTACTCGTCAGTACCAAAGTAGCGATCACCAAACTCACCCAAGCCTGGTATAACCCGAAACTCTTCGTTTATACACAGATCTATCTCCGATGTCACAATCTTCAATGATGGAAACCGTTTGCAAACGCAATGGATTCCTTCTGGAGCCTGCAGAACGTGGAATCGTTTGTGAGTTTGTGACTGGGAGATAGAGAACAAGTTATGTAATTCAAGACTAACCGAGATAAGATTGAGGAATATAATGTGGGATTCAGGAACTCCTTTCTGTATGAGTAGTTCTATCGCTTGACTTGCAGAGTTACCTTCCAATAAATCCAATGCAACATTTGAGAGAATATACACTTCAAAGTTCAAACCATGAGAGGGAAACAATAACTGAAATTACCTGTGCCTAAAACCGGATCCATTAGCAGGACATGGCGCTCGGAGATATCACTTGGAAGCTTCTCATATATAAGCTGATTCATTATGCGAGGAAGATTTTTTTTTTAAAGTCTCTTTGTTTTAGAAAAGAGACATGATCTTTGTAAACTGTTAAAGGTGTAAATAATATAAATACACACACAAACAAACCTTCATTCCATTGTCACCGACACGATGAATAAGAATCTTCCCTATCTTAATCCCTTTGCAGCATGCGCGTAAGGCGTTTTCCATGCTTTCACCACTAGTAAATCGTACAAACATAGAACTTTAGCCAAGAGAATATAATAGAAAAGGCACTCACTCATCACATGAGCAAGCAAACAATGTATGATTCCTATGTTACACACGTTACTTGTATCCCTTATTTTGAGGGTGAAAACAAATTGGAAAACTAATCAGCTCCATTCTCCATCTATCATGAACTTTGAAACATTTAATACCTTTCAACGCTCACCTTCTAATGACTGAGACCCCACAAAGTTTCTTGCAGAAATCAACACCGCTATACACAGCTCCTGGTTTGGAAAAGATTAAAAAATTATAATCGTGGTGACGCAACAAGCAGTAAATGTCAGATAAAGTACTAGGTCTTTGCTTTGATTTCGACAAGGCACAAATACCTGTTGGGGTAACTACTTGTTTCTCAGTGAATGGCAAATGGCCAAGACCATGCTCCACAACCTGAAATGGAGCCATCAACAATTGAAATAACAAGGTTTCAAAGCTGACACGTTGAAAGAGAATACACGAATTAGAAGAGTACCAGACGAATGAGGCGATCTGAGTAAAACACAAAGTCATGTTTTGATATGTCCTTCTCTCGAATGAGTGTATGCATGCCTCTTATCTGCAATTATGATCTTAAGAGTTAGAAAAATAGTTGTCTGAATCAGGCATCAAATTTCTGGAAAAGGGCGGAAGTACCTGAAAAGTTGATTGGATAACAAAAACATTTGGGTAGATTTTACAGAGATCATGCTGCCCCAGTTTTGTGTGGATATGTTGCACAATCAAATCTACAGCAACGTGATTGTCACCTCCTCGGGGAATTATCACATCGGCATATTTCTTTGAAGGGAGCACAAAATCATCAAACGCGGGCTTCACAAACTTTGCATACTGCAAATGAACATAATACCCTCAAAACAAGAAAAGTTGATAGATACAAGAAGCACAGAAGATAACACTGTTACATAGATCGAAGAACAGTTCAAAAATGGAACCAAAGAGTCCGGAGTCACTCGGAAAACAAAAAAAATTGAATTGTTCAGTATTGCACAAAGCCATAAATCTCGTGTTAACGCATTTAGAGCACTAACTAAGACAGGTGTAACAGGCTGACAAATTTCACACCAAAATCTGAAACAAAGACTAACCTGTTCAAGCACAGAATCAACATCTCTACCCCTCTCAACCGTGTCACGCCTGATTCTGCGAGCAAGCCTCACATCAGCATCTGAAACCAATTAATAGCTAAGATAAAGCCTTTAAACTTCCATGAGGATTATAAACATATCAAAAGGCTTCAAAGGTATTCATTCTGTCTTCAAAGGTCAACAAGTGATAAATGGCGAAAGTCAGTTAATCCGTAAGGACATCATCAGCTACGGAACATGAAGTGGACAACTTCCATCACAATATACAATTGTCACTATATCATCTTAAATTCCCCAGAAAAAAAAAACATAAGGTCAAATATAATGCAGCTAGCTATGATGGAGTTAAGGTGGTGACCTGTGTCAACGAAGATCTTCATATTCAGCAGATCCCGAACTCGTGAGTCATGGAAAAGTAGAATCCCTTCCAAAATTATGACATCACAAGCATTGACCTGAAAAAAGTCCCCCACTGATTGATTTAACAAACGATAATCCTCATAAGAGATGCACATATGAGGTATCCTTGCAACATAAGCATTGCAAAAGTAAATATTCCAAAGATCCACCAGCCAAATGAAGATAAAAGCCAGAATCATAAAAACGCAGAAACAAAATATCTAAAGAGGTCAAAGAAATGGAGACACATCTTAGACAATAGCTGCAGAAAAAGCGGACACCTGGCGAAAAGCATCTGCTTTGCGTTGATGGGTCTTAAAGTCGTAAATTGGAACTTGATAAGGCTGTCCACTCTTGAGCGTATCAATGCAATGCAAAAGCTGCTCAGTGTCAAAAGCATCTAGGTAAAAACAAAAAACAAAACAAGATACAAACGTTAAATATCAATGTTCCCAAAACAAGAGAGAAATCCAAGGAGAAACCAGTAAGAAAAATCTACCAGGATGATCGAAATTGTATTCTTGCACATGAGCCAGCTCCTCAGCAGTCAAACCACGGTAAAAGGAATCCTAACCAATCAAACAGCACATCATTATATCAAACCTAGCGAGTGATAACACTAGAACTGAGGACAGTGATATCTTCTTCAGAATCTAACCTGATTAACTAGAACAATGCGATGATCATGAAGTTGCTGGATGATCATATCACACACCGTGGTCTTACCCGAAGCAGTACCACCAGTAACTCCTACACAAATCAAAAATATCTGTAACTGCCAATATTCTAAAAATTTGGTCAACGGCGGTTATAACCGACTGTTTAGGGCCACACGTGTCCGCCTAACCAACAATCCTCTATAAAACGCCTAATTACCGCGAACATTAGTAATCATTTTGAAAGGGAAACATGATTAAGCCCTAGAAACTGATCTCGATCCATATATAACTAGCAAAAACGCTACAATAGATTCTGTATAGCCTAAAACCCTAAGAGATATACAATACTCGATGAATCGGTATTCGAGAGTAATTCGACTATCGACTAAGCAAGGATTAAAGCGATCAAGAGCCCTCACCGATGACGAACGGCTGATTAGGAGCGGCGGGATCGGAAATCAGGGAGAACGGAGGAACGCCGGAGCGGAAGTGAGAAGGAGAAGAGGTGGATGATTTGGACGGGGAAGAGAGGAGGCCGTCGAGGCGAAGACCGGAGAAGTGAGGCCCCGATGCCTTCTCCATGACGTAGTCGATCGATGTAGAGTCTTCCGGCATTAGGTTTCACGGCGAAACGAGATTCCGATTAGGTCTCCGGTGAATTATGTGAAAGTGATCAGTGACGAAGGATTCTGAACCAAATACGACGACTCTCGCTCCTTTCCGTCTTTTTAAAATATTTGTTGTGAGAAAAAACTTGAACGAAACCTACTTAATTAAATTATTTATTTATTTTAAAATAAGATAAATAGGAGACTTTGTAAAGTTATTAAAAACTAATGCTGTACTTGTAGTCACTATTTTTTTATAATTGATTGGGTAAATTTGAAGGAAGCTGCTAAATTTTAATTATTCGTCATTTTTTATTAGAGTTAACCAAGACTTTTTTTATTGTTAGGTCAACTTTCTATCTCTTTGATTTTTAATTCAATTTTTTAAGTGTAGTTAAATAGTGGTGTGAAGTAAAAGTATACAGGGAGTGAGGCATGAGTTTCATGATTTTGAGTCTTGATTTGAAAGATAAATGTATAATAACTTACCGACGGTAAATTGTAGTTTCTACAATACAATATTTGTTTTGATATATATAACTGATATAATTTTGTTCCATGTTTTAAAATTAAGCAAATTCTGAAGACACTAATTAGAACACTATACCGTTTCTGATAGCTAATTAGCTGTCGATAAATTTTCAAATATGTTTTCTGTAGAAAAAAACTGCATAGAATTGAGAAGAAGAACAAAAATGCCGAAATATATATATATATTTTTTTTTACCGATTGCCGAAATATTTTATAGTCGCTATGCTACGCTAAATTGAGAGCATATGAAATGGCATAAGAAAGAATATTCCAACTGGCCAGTTCAAGTGGGCAAGAGGGTGAGAAACCAAGAACCAACGTAAGTGAAATATAAGGAAATACTAGCCTCTTCGAAGCGTGGATTTGTTGGATTGTAAACAAAGTTTGATATGAATAGATATTTTGAAATTGTACATTTTAATTTTAATGGAACAAAGAATTTGTTTAAATCTGTATAATTTATAAATTAGTTTATTTACAATTTGTATGATTGTAACTTTTACATAGGTTTGAGCATTTTATCCGGATTTAAAAAACTTAACCAAAACTAATCCAACGCTAAGTAACTATTTGATATTTAATATAATATAATACATAATTGTTTTAAAAATGTATTCTTAAAATTTAATTCTAGTTCTACTTCCACTTGTTTAGTTATTTATACAATGTGTGTATATTCAGGAGACCTTAAAATTTTGATTATTACATTGACGTCCAATTCATGAAACAATATGATAAAAAAGACAGTTTCAAGTTTATTATATCACAATAAGACAGTTTGTTCTACCAAGACACTTTTTCCTAACATATCTTCTTTTTCTTTAACTAAAATAGTCACTTCCTAACTAAATAATAAAATAATCACTTTATTCTTAACTTTTTTTATGCTTACAGAGAATTAAAACTACGAAAGTCATTTTTTGGTAAATCTCAACTTGAAGAGATAAAGATCCATGATTACAACTTCATCATCTTGTCTAAAAACCATTCTTCTGCTGCAACAAGACCACCTATGTCTCCATCTCATCTTTTCCTTTTTTCGTCTCCACTTTCGTCGTATCCTTCTCGTCGTCGTGTTCATCGTCTCCTTCTCATCGTGCCTTCGTCGTCTCCTTCTTGTTCTCAACGCCGCCTACATCTCGCCGTTTTCATCTCCTCCATCTCGTCGTTTTCCTTCGTTGCAAAAGTTCGATGAACAACAACGGCCAGTTTTGATTTTATTGAAGATCTAGTTCCTAGACATTTGAATATATTCATTTCTGACAGCAAGATCTCCAATCTGGTCATCTCTTCAGGTTTAGACATTCTGAAGAACCCCTAATTTTCCTGCAAAATTCGTAACTAGGATTGAGGAAGAAGATGAAATAATTACAATAATACCATTAATGAATTAATATTAAAAAACGTGTACACGTAGACATGTGTACAAGTGTACATTCTAAGTTTACATGTAGATGTTTATTAATTAAACGTACATGTAGTATTTGTAAAAATCATTAAAATCCCTCATATGTTATGTACACCACTTTCATCTTTGATGGACACATGTGTACCATATGGTGTTCATGTGATTTTTATAAGAATAATTTTATCTTGACACAACTAAATTGTAACTATACATAACATACACAACTAAATAGTACACAAAATAATAATAGTTTTATCTTTGATGGACACGTGTGTACCATCTAGTGTTCATGTAATTTTTATAAGANCTTTCATCTTTGATGGACACATGTGTACCATATGGTGTTCATGTGATTTTTATAAGAATAATTTTATCTTGACACAACTAAATTGTAACTATACATAACATACACAACTAAATAGTACACAAAATAATAATAGTTTTATCTTTGATGGACACGTGTGTACCATCTAGTGTTCATGTAATTTTTATAAGAATCGTTACTTATGCGGTGTACAAAAAAACTAGTGATGTGATTTTCTACTGATGATGTACACCAAATCTGTGTACATACTTACTGATGATGTGAAAATGTACATGTGTATACATCTCTAGTGTTCATGTAATTTTTATACGAATCATAACTTGTGATATGTACAAAAGAACTAGTGTATATGTGATTTTCTATAAAACATTGTATTTGTGGACATGTGATTTTTATAAAAGAGCTAGTATACATGTGATTTTTGTATAAAATCATTAGATATCATAATTTCTTTTGTAGATGGATTTGTGAGCATCAATACTTTGTTTTGATTCAAGAACCAGAAAAAATCAGAGTGGACAGAAGATACATTCACCTTGTTGGAGAAACAATGTATAACGTTTATGTATTATTGTACAAATTTTGTGTATATGTAAATCATTGTACATTTAAAACGTATGAAGGTTATTCACTTTACTCGTGTACACGAACAAAAGTACATACACAACTTATGTACACATCCACATCATCTGAATTATATACACATCCATATGGTCACCCAATATACTTGTGTACACTAACATTAAGATACATGGACAGGTTATCTCGTGTACACGTGTACGTCAAAAGTGTACACATTATTTTCAACCTTTTAGTCAGTGGCATTTTAGTAAATATATTTTCGTCTTTCCCAGATTTTTAGGGTTTCCTGCAACTATTTTGCGGCCGTCATTGATTTATTTCTCATAATTTTTCATTTTCTTACATTTTAATTCTAGGTTACACTTCAAGATTGTAACTTTATCATTTATAAATAAATTTTCATTTTCAGATTTGAAAAAAATCTGAGTCTTCTCTGAGATTTGGTCATTGTTGTTTGAGCTTCATTGTGCAACTAAAAAGCCACCACCATAGAGATCAAGTTTGTCTTAGGCTCGCCGGCGGTTTCAGAGCAGGAGCAGAGCATAATAATATGAGAAAACAGAGACATCATGGTTGAAACTTCAAATAGTGAATAAGGGAAAAGAACGAAGAGGAAAATTATATGGGATCTATTTTATTTTAGTTAGTTAGAGGTTCTTAATTAGAAGGTGACTATCACGTTAGAAAAAGAAGAAGAAAAGAGAATTAGTTAGAATAAACTGTCTTGGTAGCATAAACTGCTCTTTTGTGTAATAAAAAACTAAAAACTGCTCTATGATGAAATAAACTCCCAATTCATTATGTGTGTATTGTTTTTAAAGTGAAGAATAATAATAAAATTATGCACACATAGTATATATTATTCTAACTCTTACTTCCACTTGTTTAGTTATTTATACAATGTGTGTATACTTAGGAGACCTTTAAATTTTGAGTATTACATTGACCTCCAACTCACTATATGTATATATTTTTGTAAAAATGAAGAAGAATAATAAGAATAATAAAATTATGCACACATAATATATATTATTTGCATATAATAAAGTTTCCACTAATTTAAATTTTTTAAAATTACTTAATGTATATTACACTACATATTCTATAACAAATATGATTTTAAAGATTGGATTAAACTTCGATAACAAAAAAGGTTGGATTAAACAAAATATCTAGAACTCTATCATAATTCTTATCTCTGTTTGGATAAATATATATATAGATAAATAAATAGATAGATAAGCTGTCTATATAAAAATATTAATTAGTTGACATAGAAAAATAAAGCTAACTCTTATCAAGTCCAGAACATCAAATCCGCGTTTACCTTTATAAAAACTGGATTGTGTGACCAAATTTATTAATGAAATAGCAATTTATCTTCTTAGACTTTTCACACCAATTCATCATAGGAAACACAACAACCTTGTGGGGGTTTGGTTGAATTTGTTATGGATCAGTAATCAAAACGTATATATATATATATACTTAATCGCATTGATGATGTTATAAGCTAGGTTCTAAAACTCGGTCGAACAGCCGATTTTGTGGCCGTATAAGCGTTTCTCGGTGACCAACCGTTGCGAGTTGACCAACTCGGCAATTAAAATCGGTCAACGGTCAATAAACCATTTAATGCCATTAATCGATATTTAATAGTATTAATAACCGATTTATAGCTATACTAAACTTGTTTAAAGTCCAATTTTGTTGATGGGCCTCGGCTAATTTATATCTTATTTGCATTTTTCTACAAGGAAATGGCATAACTTATTTACAAGAAGTGTTTCTCTTGACAAACTTCATCATTTTCGGATGTGGGATGTCTTGAATTTGTCTTAAAAATAATTAATCAAAACTTCGGATTTTGTCATTTGAACCCAGGCTTAAGGGTCAACAAGGTGATAGCATACCACTAGACCACATTATCACATCATTGTCTAAAGCACCAACAAATAAATATACATATAAACATCTGAAAATATAAAAAATACTGAAAATAAATTTCTGATTAATCTCCAATTAATTTCCGATTTTCTATTAACTCGCTAGGTTCATACCGACCGCCCGACTAACACCTAGCGCGATTCCGAACAAACAAAGCCGTGCCTGAACGGAAGCCACTAAAGCATCTGCTTGGGGCCTTGGATTAGATTAAGT